CCTAGCGCTACGTGCTGCCATCTAACTCAATGATCATGCATTAACCCAGACATGTCTATTTGGTTGCCTATGTTTAACGATTTCCTTCTCGTGATTGAATTTTTTTTTCTTTTTCAAATTCAAGTTATTCAAATGTGATTTCGCGCCGCTGTTAATTAATTTCAGCGCGAAAACTTTGATTCAAATTCGGTCACCACAATATATTACTAGTAAAAGTGACATATCGAACGAAAAACAAGAACTCTGAGATAACCTCAATTAAATATGATTCAAATTATAAAAGAACAGTCATGTTAATTGCATTTGTATGTATGTATTTATTACAGTTACATACATTTTAACAAACAATATACCATTAGTAACTACAGGAATAGTTATATAAAAATAACACCGATAAGTAAACCGATGATTTTCTACACCTATGTATAATTAATTATTAACGAATGGAACTAACAAATGGGACAAAATGATTAATTTCCTCTGTTTTCTAGGTTGCTTCTGTAGTTCCCTATTATGGAATTTCAATGTATAAAATATACGTAATCGCACAAATAATGGCAAAAGGTAATCATGGGGGAGATTACTACATGGATGCTTGTATGTTATTAAGGCCAGCTGATTTTTAAGTTGTCTACGATATTGAAGCAAAAGTGTATTATGTTCAAATGAACTAATGAAAGCATTTTCTAATTGTTCAATGTAATGTGCAAACTGTTCATACGGAACATTAAGATTGCTATAAGATAAGTTTCAGAATTGTGGGCTGGGGAATGACATTAATGTAGTCTTTAGAATTTCCGCCACATCCATTTGTATATTCACAGCATATCTGAGAAGAGTGTTTTAACCATCTATCCACTGAGTATCCACATATTTATCATAAGATATTTTGTTCAGCTAAATAAACTCTTTGTACTCCATCCTATCTATTTTTAGGACATTATGAGGTGGTTGGAAATTATTAATTATGGTGGCGATGTTGTACCTTTCACTTAAATTGGAGATATCTTCATTAGCAGATAAGAATTGTGGTGTGATCAGATGATTAAAACAGGACTTGCGTTCGTGGTGTATTTATTTTTTATGTTGTCGGTTCAGTAGATAAGGGAAGAGTGTTTGAGTTTGTGATTTTGAAAATGAAAAGACAGGTCGGTAGAGAGCGGTGAAACGGTTGTGTCGAAAGGGTTCTTGGAAGGTACTCGAAATCTTCGAAGGATAAAAATTATTGGGAAGGGTGTACAAAAGATAGGTTTTACCACATGCAGGTGGACGAAGAGAAAATTCAGGGTGATAGTGATTGGAAGTCAATAAATGCAGACTATATATGTACAAATATTACATGTTGCATAATTTTGTGGAAATTGCTAGCCCCCACAAAATGTTGCTAAATGAATAGCACAATTACCAGTTGGGTTGTGCTGCATATATTTTATACAGAACAATAGCTTGTATTTGCTTATATTCTAATAAAGTGTGATTTAAATAACTATATTTTTTCACTAGCAGCCAGGACGCATGCAAATGTCGACTCATTTAGTGGTAGCAAATTCAACTTTTGCTACCACGGGTTCAAAAAGAAAAATTGAGGTTATGTACGCAATGTTTGATGTGATTATTTCTTAAAAAATGAACAAATGTGTGCTACAAACATTACTTGAGTATACGCATGGTAGTTGGTAGCCGGTACATGATAAAATGATTAACTCAGCGACAAGTATAAACGGTTTTCTTTGTGTTGAAGATTTAGATTATGTTTGATTAGAATTCAAAACAAAATAATGTTGCGTCAAAAAATTGAACGTTTATTTTTTCAATTTATTGTCTTATAGTTTCTACTAGTGAAAAAAATAGTATATTAACCACGGTTGCAAAGCCACTTCTAGACCTCGCGCTTCAGAGCCCTCGACGCTGCGCGTCTCGGGTTCTAATTTGCGCTCGGTCTAGAATGCTTGGCTCTGCAACCTTGGCTAATAATATACTATTAATAATATGAGGACAAAAATAATTTTATTAACACCCGCACAGAACTAAAGGTGACTAAAGTCATCTTGGCAATGAAAAGGTAACATTCAATATTATAACTGTATTTGTACCCCTTAAAGTGTCGTCCTTGAATTTCAACGTTGGGTTGTAATAAACAATCGTCTAATGGGCTAGAGGGTGCTTTAAAGTTAATACAAGCATTTTGATTAATTTAATGTTTTTTTATCCATATATTGAGTTGTTACATGTCAGGTAATGATAAAAATATTAGGACAATTTACTATTAATCAGGATGTAAACATTACAGAAGTACCAAACAATGTTAGATCTAATACAATCAATTTTCGAATAAACTTAATGATTATAATTTTTTTAACCTTGTCATTTTCCATTTATGAGGAACCTAGTATTTTTGGAAGAAAGATTAACCCCTTTTGGTATATTCTTACGATTGGTAATATCCCTGGTAATCAACTAGCCGGGCATTTGAGCCTGAATGTTCAAATAATAATAATCGAAGAAGTGAAATCGAAAGAAAACCCGGTGAAAACAGAAGGGAAAATATTAATTGGTGTACTTGTGGACAATGTACAGTTATGAGCACAGAAAAACTACCAAATGATGTATGAAACGACAAAGCCTGAAAAACAGGCACGTAACCAGCCTTTTATTTTGGAGGGGCCCAACCTGGGCACTAATTTCAATTAAAGGGACCTTTAAAAAGTCTTCATTAGTATAAATCAACATTTTACTTGGATCACAACTAGTTTATAAATTTAATGGGGTGCAAATAGTTGAAATTGACAGGTATTTACTTTTAATATTGAGGGGTACAATAATCAAGATTTTCACACTAGTGCGTTAGTGACTTTACTGTACTGAAATGTTTACTTTTTGTATATAGGTATGTATATGTACTAGAAATACATATAGTATTATGATATGCCAACAATTCAAAACGCAGTTAAACAAAACTTCGGTAGTAGTCAAGATAAAATTAATAAAATCTTACCAGAAATGACTTGGAATATCAGTTGTATGTATCGGCTAACTGCTTAAAAAAGTTATCGACAAAACTGTTCACAGCAATATCGCTTTACTCAGAGAGTTATATTACAAGATAAGAACATAAGATTACCCTCATAGCTAAAATTTACTGTTGATCTGAAATTTCGAATTTGCTTTACTTTTAAAATTTAAAATTAATTTAAGGGGGCACCAGGGGTGGCACAGGGTTTTGCTGGGGTGGCCTGTGCCCCCCAGGCCCCCCTTGGTTACGTGCCTGCTGAAAAATACAACAAATAGATAGTTTATGGAGACACATTGCTTACAAGCAATTTGTATATTGGGTTAACGCATGGGTTCCGCTAGCCAAAAAAACGAAAAGTAATTCCTTCTTGTGTAATTGCAAAAATTCGTGAAAAATATGAAAGTGAGGACTACGTAGGATTCAATAGTGTAGATGGAGAGGATTCAGATTATTTTCACTAAATTCAGAATAAAAATGTACATTAGACAAGTTAGAAATTATAAATATAGTAGCAGAAGTTGTGTTTTAATTTCTACATAACTTAATAGGAAAATCGAGGAAAATGTAAATTAGCTTCGTCTATTATTTGTTTTCTTTGTTTGTTTTCAGAAGACGTTGTTTTACGCGGTCTGGTTGTAGTGTAGTTGTGAACAAATAGCGAAGGTACGTAGTTCTCTTTCAAAAATAATGTAGTTTTTGCGAATTCACCTAGCAAATTGAAGATGAAATTTCGAAATAATCTCGAAAGTGAATTGAGCACACTCGCCTACTCTTTCGTTGTTGGAATAAAGTTTTTTCCCTTTCACTATGTCGAGCCATTTCCGGCATAATTTCGGTTTTTTGTCTTTTTTGGGGAAACGAAAAAAAGCTCTATCCTGTTTTTTCAGTTTATTGCATCCGTAGACACAACACTGTGGCATTTTTAATTTAAAATTTGACTTAAAATATTTTCGAAGGACGAGCGGATAGGAAACACGTGTTGTCTTTAAAAATATATTTCCGAAATTACAAGTATTTTAATTACAATAATAAGAGTACCGAACCTACCTGTGCGGTGAGGGTGAACAACCTTACCATTACAAGCCCCTTTGTCGGATTAAAATATTCAAAGAAACATCAACAAACACTTTTCACGGCGTACAACACGTTTACCTGCCTAAGAACGCCCGAGATGCAAGCACGAATGACGTCACACTTCGTTAGCATTTCCAGTTCAATGTTTTATTACGACGTTATTTATAAACCTAGAAACAAATGGTTTGGATTTTGGAAAACTAGATTTTTTTAACATTTTTTTAAGTTAATGTGTCTGAACTACTTCACCACCCCTTTAACGAAAATAATTTCTTATAATTTTTCAATTTTAGAAATGATTACTTGACCTACATTGTCGTTTGTGTATTGTGTTATTACTCCTTATATTAATGTTGACAAAACCAGTCTTATTTTGGCAAGTATAGGCCCCACTCACCCACCCTTCATTTCCTTCGAGAGTATGCCATTTGGCAATATTAGTGTTACTTATCTTAGCACAATTTGTAGTAGAAATATGGTGCCTATTCAAACTTAGCCACCCAAACTTAGACACCACGTTTCACCCCTAAGCATCGAATCTCCGAAAATGCTTAAATACGTATTTCATTATTTGTATTGAAGAGGATTAAAATGTAAAAACTATGTAAGTTTTACAGTAGACATATTGGACCTGACAAATTTTATCACCCCTTTTCACCGCCTTTGAGGATGAATTTCGAGAAATCTCTTCTTAAACGATGCCTCCAGTATAAAATGAATATTCTCTCCAAATTCCAAATTTCAACTTTCTAGCATTAACGGTTTGGGCTGGGCGTTGATAGGTCAGTCAGGACATTGCCTTTTATATATAAAGATTTATTTATTGTACTTTAGGTGCGAGGGAAGTTTGCATTTTCTTAACCTTTAATCTTACTAAAATTGTATCAACATATTCACTTGTTTTTAATTTCAGATGTTCGGCCTGACACTCATCTAACCATGGTAACCGACATATCTCCAAAATCTGAGCAAAAGTCACTTCCACGAAGAAACCGATCAAGGTAAAAATTTTTATTAATAACATTGAAGAGAATTAGAAGTAATAGAAACCTTAAAATTTTTCGATTTTTTTTTTTCTTCAGATTGTCAGTACTTTTGCTGATTCTCCCCCTTTTCAACATTATATACATATGTGGTTTATTTTGCAATAAGCCTATGTAACCCTATCAAATTTAAAATTATGCTGGATGTCTGTGCGTCATTCATAGGGTTTTTTGTCTTGATGTTTATATGACTAAAAATCTGTGGCACGTTGTAAGTTTATTAAAACGTTGAAATTTCAAATCAAACCTGACAGAAAACAGAGAAAATTATTATTAGCGGAAGGTGCTAAGGAAGCTCTCATTAGTTGCTTGCGTGGTGTTTGTTTAGTGGTTGATTCAAACTCCATTGGAACAGCTGTTCGACTTAGGACTGGGGAAATGTCTCTTTCTGTGTAAAGTCTTTCCTTTCTTGCATGCTAGTATTGTTAGTAGTATAGCAAGCGGGGTTCTGGCTCACACCATCCACATCTATTTATTCCATCCACATGTTGACCTCTAAGACCTCTTAGAGGCCATTCTTCATCTCTGACCTTGAAAGACTACCAGTAGGTGTGCCCTCAGGTAAGGGCGTAGTCAGGTATTACAGGGGTTTTATAGGTGTGCTTAGAAATGAAAAAAAAAACACTTTTTACCTGATGTGTATATATTACAAGTAGGTTGTAGTAGGCAGATAATAGATGATGACGATGTATGAGAAATGTATGGGAAAAAAGTTTCGCTCTAACTGAGTATCGAACTCACGTCCTTCGTGTTCGTAGATACTAACCTTACGCTACTCGTCCATATGAGTTTCCCTTTGTTTAAGTGATGAAGATGCTATACTTGCTGCATCGTACAAATAAATCGCTTTAGATAAGGTTGACCATCAAAACAATAAAATAAAACCACATTTTATTTATTCTTTATTTTACATTAATACATGATAAATTATTTCTTATCATTGTAAATATAATTATGTACATGTTTTGTACAGAAATTATTTTTTGCCCATTGAATGAAATAACAAATATTACATAAAGCATATTGTAAATGTTGTGACAACCCAAAGTTCCCGCCTTTAAATTGACCTTGACACATTTTGAAAGGCCCGCGAAAAATTCAAAAATTCAAAGTTCGGGCTTGGCTGTGATCGTCTAAGAAATAGGAACCTACGTTGTGTGTTTTTTTTTTGTTTTTGAAAAATGGCGGGAAGACATTCTTTTATACAAGTGAGCATATACTGCATATAAGTTGAGAGCGCAAGAAATAATAGACAAAATTAGGGAGGTCGAAATCCTTCCTTAGGAGGAAAAGAAACGAAGAGCGAAAGGGACTCAGCTTGCCCGTCTGGCGACTCCGCAGGGTCAAGACGTCATCGGTCTTCATTCCCAAAAACTCCCTGGGGTTTTATTCACCGAAATATTACATTTCAAACACCTTAAGATATATGAAAGAAAACACTCGCGAATTGGCAGACATACACATATGAAAACCAAACAAATACAAAAACCTACACATATGTAAAATGGATGGCAGCACCCGAATCATTATGAGAGTGTGCGATCGAACAAAATATATCAATTTCATTTACGAGCACAGAAAAATACCCAGAGGGGGGATCATCGTAGCGCGAATGGAGGTTGGGACTCCTGATCGTCACTGTTCTCCCCCACGACGGTGATTTTATCTACCACAAAGCCTGCCGGCACGCACATCTCCATTACGAACGTGCCCGGCGAAACTAGGCCGTTACGATCGCAGCTCCGTAGTGGGGTCCCGGCTAGCACGAAACCGGCAGCGTTACAAACCCGCGATCGCCCACTGACACTATAGAAACCCGCGGACTTGTGCAGGTGACGCGATCAATCTCGTCAGTTTGAGAAGGAGACGCGCGCCCCACGTACACTACGAGTTATGTGTTATTTGAGTGCAATTCCATTTAAATGTTCAATCTCTATGACTCTAATATTAAATTACAACCGAACAAGTGTTAAAGTTTCAACAAAAGAACAATAAACAATATTTAAATTCGACATACACTCTTACGAAAATCCAAACAACAAATAATTCTTAATTGAGATTAAATTTGGACATCAGATAATTTATATGACAGAAACATTCATCAACAAAAATATTTACATCAAAAACTTAGCAAAGATTTATAAAAGAAAGATCTGGTGTGAGATAAACTTGTGCAAATAAAATATTATGTTACGTTAAACTATAGAGCATGGAAATTTACGTTCAATTCAAATTTAACAACAAAGAAAATTACTGAAGCTAGAACTGTGAGATAAAGACAAATTGCATGAGGTGAAAGATTGCAAAGTCAACAGATTTACATGAGATTAATAATAATTCGTGTCCAGTCAAGTTATTGGTTAAAATTCAAAACGTGAAATAATTCAGCTGCATTGTGGGCCATTATTATACATTTCCCCAAACAAACACATAAACAAAAAACATGGCAGACAATCTGCAGGTACAAAATGGCGTCGGACGAATGCGTCATTCCAAAAAATAGGCGTCGAAAATATGCGATGAATCCTGTGGCGTTGTGTAACAATGGGCTAAATCAAAGTAATAAAAGGCAGGTCCCCCCATGACCCACAATGTTGTTAATTTGTTCAATAGATTCAACAGTTAAAACATGTGCTCGGCAAAAAGAAACAAAATGGACGCTTGCAAAATGGCCGCTGTCTGAACAAAGAATGGTGAAAATAACAACTCGTTTACCGCCCTCCAAAATACAGATTCACAGATATAGCTAAATAAAGCATGGCCCGAACTAAAAATCACTTCCTGTAAAGCCCCACTACGACGGATTTTAAATGAAAGATAAAGAAGCGCACGCGTCGATGAGTCACGAAGCCGCCCGAATCTTCCACGTGTTTCCCAGAGCGTGTGGCCCCCATACGTCAGAAGCACCGTCGGGACTTGAAAACACGCCGTGAACAGTACCCAGTCAAAAACATGTGGTCAAAACCTACCTCTCCAAAGATTCGAAGATTTAGTCACGGCTTACCGCCAAAAGGAACACAAAACCTTCGTCGTAAGAACGATGAGAAGACTGGAACACCCTATGGCTCAAGGGGGCTGCTAGGTTTTCCAACGGAACGGAATCAACACTGGAAAAGCAACAAAACAACAGCAAAGTCACAGAATCTCACAGTTAAAAATACAACCTGTTGCTCGAAGCGGTCAGAAGGAAGTGACGCGCTTTCACAAGGGATGATGCCACCCTCGTCTTCCGCGCATGTCCCTCTTTTTTTGGTGTGGTTCGTTGCCAACCTCTTCTTCTCACCAACCGTTTCTTGTGCGCGCGGAATTCGTTTGAAATTTAAAAATTCGAATTGGATCCTTACAATGTGTTTCACCTCCACATCGTGGACAAATGAACTTCACAGGAATAGGAATGTAATGATAGAAGTCTTGCCTGAATGCCGGTCATTTCCGGGTCAGTGGTGGGTCTTAATAATATATTAATAATAGTAATAATAAAAAAAAGTGACCTTTGGTTGTTCATAAATTTCTTAACAAGGCGGAATCTTTGGATAAAACTCAATTCAATACCTTTATTTGACTCAAAAGGACTCATAATAGTGCAAGGTACTGTATTTACTATTAAAACCACCTATTTAATTCGATATTTGCACTTAATTTCCGTTTTTCTTACTCAACTGTCAACGCTGACATTTCCAACTAAAAAATGAGTCTAAACCAAATTGTTTCGCCTACAACGGAGAATGTTCAACTCGAAATCCGACGAACACCTATTACTGCAGTCTCCGAAGAGGTCGATGGAGCAAGTGGCATCACCTCGGGAAATACTACCACAAGGACAATTAACAGCTTATTAGTCTCTAATGTTTCTCAGACAAATCAGCTTCAGATCATTAGAAGACGAGAAGAACCAAAAAAGCGTAAAAAGTGGTCTCTAGACATGAATTTACATATTATGCGCTTATATTATAAAATTACAAACAATGAAACTCATGTAAGTAATTATCGTACAGCTCTACACGAAGCCTTCAACCTTGAGTACCCAAATTTTCCAGTTACCATTCAAAATTTAGCAGATCAACGTAGAGCTATAGTTAAAAATAACTACATACCTCAATTTACTCTAGAACAATTAAAAAATGAACTTTCCAAAACCATTAATCCACTTCCTGAAGATATTAACAACAAACCACCAAATACATTACTGACTGACACATCTGTCACCAGTTTGTCAAAAACAACATCTCAAAATAAGATCCCAATTATACCACAAAATAGTAACAGTAGTCTATCAAATACACCACAGACACCGACTGACACATTTACTAAAGATTTATTAAACAAAACACCTCAAAATAAGATCACAACCATTACACAAATTACCAACACACTATCAAACAGATCCCAGGCATTAACTGACAAATCACTTAACAATTATCAAAAACAATCCAAAACCAAATTAACATCCCAGATAATCTACAAAACCGAAGACACATTAATCAAAACTGTAAATAACAATTTTAAATTTCACATTAAGTTCCAAAATGAAATTGAAGACCAATTTAAATTAACTTTCGAAACATGTTCTAAATTAAAACCAAATGATAGACATTCACTTCCCCTCCAGTGTTATTCTAAAAAGTTTCTGGAAATTGTAGAAATAATGAACTCCTTCATTTTACCAAAATATCTCACAAACTCGATCTCTTTTGAAAAACTTCATACAATTATCTACTGTGCAGCTTTAACTTATATTCAAATTAACACATGTAAAGATAACATAATAAATACAAACACCAATCATATACCCTCCACCCCTCACTGGGAAACACGGTTAAATTATAAAATTAATAACATTAGAAAACAACTTGGTCAAATAACACAGTACCTTAGATGAGTTAAAACACCACATTTCATGACATGTATGCACTCGATACTGACCAACAATAATTTTCATCAAACTGATTACGATGAGT